AGTCATTTGTGTTTTTGAATTGCATCCTTTAAGTGGTTTGTGTTTTTGGTCAATAATTGACTAAAGATTTTAGATCAGATTTGCTTCTAGTGAAGTGAGGGTGCTTCTAGTGAAGTGAGGGTGCTTCTAGTGAAGTGAGGGTGCTTCTAGTGAAGTGAGGGTGCTTCTAGTGAAGTGAGGGTGCTTCTAGTGAAGTGAGGGTGCTTCTAGTGAAGTGAGGGTGCTTCTAGTGAAGTGGTCATTAGGGTGTCCCAAAAAAAAAATTTTTTTTGCACGCATGTTTTTCCCATTCCTTTATGTCTACTGAGTTCATATATATGACTAAAAAGTTTTTCTGAGGTCAATTTCAGCTATATGTAAAATCTCAATTTCTTAATTTTTAATAAAATTTGAGCTTTTTTTTACCTTTTTTTTAGATTCCAACAATTTTACTTTTTTAATGTTCCTTACCCTAGAGAATTTAGAAAACCAATGTTTTTAGACTATATAAGAATAAGTCTATCTGGCCTATTTGGTACAGAAGGTTCTTTCGAGCATGATTTACAGAGGGGGTTGATAATGATGACTAGTTGAGGAACCTTTGTGTTTTATGTATACTGTTTTGTTTTAACAGGATTTTGTCTATTCTTTTGATTTTAACCGCTTATAGTAATAATTAGAAGTTAAATATGAACTTGTTTTTTCAAATATAATTATGTAATAGTTGTGAATACCTTCAATATACATTTATTTACTTGAAAATTGTATAGTTAAATGTAATTTTTTTAGGGGGACACTAGAATAAATTTTTAAAAATTTGTTTTAGCATTAACTAATAATAAAAGTATTAAATAAAATGGGTCGTACTCAAAAAAACAAAGAGGAGAGTAATACACTCTTTGATATTTCATTGGCAAATTTTGAACAAAAAGTAAATCATGATCGTTTTCGTTTGGAGAATGCTAAAAAGGAGGATATTAGATTTTATCTAGATCAAAAAAGAGAGCAAAACATGTATATTACAGAAGAGTTTGATAAAGTATTACAAAATTCAGTTAAAAAAAAAATATATTCGGCTCAAGAGGATGGAGGAAGCAAGAGATAAAAGTAGTATCACAATTAATGCAGTAAAATCCAACAAACTTGAAGCTTCTTTTTATTCATCTGGAAATGATTCTGAATCGGAACTTAGTTTAGATTCTTCAGATGATGAAAAATTATCTAATAGATTCAGTCATTCTACTAAATCTAAGATAATGATAAGTATAAGTGCTGAAGATCTGGTAGACTGTACTGCTGCAGTTTCTGGCCGATTCAGAGTACGTCCAGATTCAGAGTACGATTCATACGTCCACAAACTTCATTAGTAGCTGCTATTTGCAATAAAGCTGGTGTAAATCTAGAAGATATTAATCTATCAAGAAGTACCGTTTATAGAAAAAGATTCAAAAAAATTGATATTAGGAGATAAGTTCAGGCAAGAAATTATAACTACTCTGAAGGGAAAAAAACGATGTGTTCATTTTGATGGAAAAAGGATAAAACAGATTGAAGAAGATCTAAAAATCCCCTGATATGGATGACACAGATGACATACTGCTAGGTGTTGTTCAGACACCAAGTTCTAAATGTAATGACCAGGCTGAAGCAATTTTGAATTTGCTAGAATACTATGACATTGTAGATCAAATATTTTCTGTTTGCTGTGACACGACTGCATCCAATACTGGAATACACTCTGGAGCTGTTGTTATCCTTAGTTTCATTCATAATATTCCATTTATATGGTTTCTCTGTAGAAGACATATGCTAGAAATACACATCTCACACACTCTATGGAGGCTTTGACTGGAGAGAAGACGAAGGGCCCAAGAAAAGGGCTGTATGTCAAACTCCAGAATAATTGGTGTTTTTTCAAAAAAAAAAAGAGGTTGACAAGATGATAGATCTAGTTAGGTTGATTGGAGTCAGCTTCAGGTTGAGTCACCTCTTTATGAAATTGCTAAGAAAGCTCTGGAGTTTGGAAAAGAGGCCTTTGCCTCAAAAACTTTTGTGAGGAATGATTACAAGAAACTATGCGAGCTTTTTGTTTTCTATTTGGGAGGAGAAGTACCTGTACTGTGTTTTCATCAACCTGGAGCCTGCCATGAAGCTAGGTACAGTATATTAAAAGAAAAAAAGTTAAGTATAATAAATAACATATAAATAAAAGAATATAATAAATAAATATTAATGGTGACAAAATCTTACTCTTTAGGTTTATGGCTGATGCTTTATACATTCTTACCCTGAGAATAACCGATGAGGTTATTCTCAGGGTAAGAATGTATATATCAGGACTTTGTAGGTGGATATAAATCTGACAATATGCAACAAAAATTAATGCTAGTGGCTAGGGACAATAGAAAGAAGCTTAAAAAAGATCTTTCCAAGTCCCAGTTAAAAAATATATAACTTGTTATTCTTGAAATATACATTTTTTGACACACTTTAGTATTTTTATTTGGAAAATGTGTAAAATTTTGTTTTTTAACAAAATATGGAATTTTACATATTGCTGAAATTGTGGTCTGACAATGTTTTTTTTTATATATTTGCAATCAGGGGACACTAGAGAATGGAAAAAAATTGCGTGCACATAGAAATTAAAAAAAAAGTATAAATTTGGGACACCCTAGTGGTCATTCTAGGGGCTGAA